AAGTCGTACCTATGAACACCCTAAATACCCAGAGTCATTTCTGAAAAATTAAACATGCTATGTTTGCTTGCACGCTGATTGGGGCACTCTGGTTGCTGATAGCAATCAGTATGAACTTCCCTACTGCTGATGTAATGATGATGAATGCTGTGACACTGCTATTTCAGACAGCTCTTCTCAGCGGATGCAAACCACTTGTTAATGAATTGAATACAACTACAGCAGCATCGAATAAAACAGGGAAAGGACTTTTTTTTTTTTTTTTTAAAGCCAACACATTAAAAGATACCTCCTCAAAAATGTTACAAATAAAGGCAGAAGAAGGTTTAAGTTCCCAAGAAACATAAACCAGTCTAACATGCAAATTGAGAATTTTAGATGCTGATTCCTGCCCAAGCACTTCTACTGAAGCAAGTAGTCTTGCTGAAGTCACTGACCCTATTCCTATGAATAAAGATTTGCATGATCTGGTCTTTAACACTAACTTATTCAATATAAATGCAATGATTCTAAGAGTAATTCAGAGAGGAAAAGGAGCACAGAGCTGAAGATTTCTTGGAAAATGGAAGTGTATGTTCAGAAAGGGTCATGCTTCCTGCTCTTCCAAACAGAGGGCTGCTCCACTGGTTTTGGTTAGTTGGTACTGTGAGTAAATGAACAAAAAGATTTTTTTCTTCCCAGTATATTAATACAATTATTTTTACTACTGAGAGGCACAGTTTTATGACCAGCATACATAAGGACTGGAAATTATATGATTTCAAATTGCTTGAAAGAATTTTTTTGTTCGAAATACATTTCCAACATACTGCCATTTGTTGATACTCCTTTTAAAAGACACAGTTTTCCTCATTTAAGTAGTTCATCCCATTAGCTTGTTCCTAAAATTCCTCCAGTGTAGTATGCAATTGGTGAAAGTTTACATTTATGATTTAAAAAGAAGAGACACACCTGCAGGCAGGTTGCTGTTTTGAGAGGGATTAGGTTTAAAATGGGGATCTGGAATTAATTGTGCAGTGTGTTCAGGCTTTAGGGAAATTACAAAAGGTTCAAGCATGGTTGAATGGGAAAAAGCCATGAATGTTTGCTTTCAGGAAGGAATGTTTATCCCTCCATTTACCTATGAAAGTTCAGGCTTTTGCCCATATAGTGTTATAGTATTGTCTTGCCATTCACATGCACATGGAGATGCTGGATAGCCGACAGAAACTAGCTTTCTGGGTTTTTTTGAAAGCAGAGCTCCTTGCTGCAGAATAGATACATATTGTCTCAGGCCTGGGGGCAGGAACAGGGAAGTCACTGACCCACACGATGGGGAGAGCCTCGTACACCATAATATAAACCACTTCGTATGGTAATGTGAAGACGACGTCAGGGTGGTTGATTTTCAGAATGCTTTTTGATAGGGATTAGCAGCCAGTGGAAAGAAATCTTCACATCGTCCTGGATGGTTTTTTGTTTAGTGTTTTTTTTTTTTTTTTGGTAGACAGCAATTCTCATACTTCAATTTCTGAGAGAAAATAAAAATCACAGCCAAAATTAAGGAGAATGATTCTAGAAGGCATGTGTGTCTGGTTTGTGTTTTCAACTTGGGCTTAAGTTTGTCTTAAGGAAAAAAAAAAAAAAAAAGATTTTGGGGGCACCATATTGATGTCCAATTGACTGCTTCCCTCTTAGGCACGCTTGACAAAACCTACCAAAACACATACCTCTAATTATTAGTTCTGCCATCTCTCCTGGCTTTCCTTACTCTCCCAGCCACACATATCACCATGTAGTTGGTCCGGCACCAGAGTGTAACTGGAGCTGCTGGAGTTCTTGCGGATGCCCTTGCCGCACGTGCGTAGGTTGGGAGCAGAGGAAGGAAGGCACCGGAGGAAACGTCTGCAGCACCGGGGCCATCGGCTCGTGGTGCAGGGTGTAGAGCCGAGGCAGAAAGTTTACTTTTGTGGTGTTCCCTCTTCCATGCTGACATGAATAAAAGCAGCCTTCTGGATGTAAGTTAAGCAGACATGAACCAGAACAGGTACCAAGAGCAGATGTTTATATTAGCTCATGGCCAATTCTGCAATTTTCTGACTGAAAATTCACTTGAAGCTGCTACTTCAGGAGTCTGTTCTCTACCATTACCCACACTAGGTAGCATAAAACAGGAAAGTGATAGAACGTGGTGGGAAATGTGGAATTATGTCTCTTAGTCTTCCCTCCATTAAAAAAAAAAAAAACAACCCCAAAACACCAGAAAAATCTCGTTGGTAGGAAAGAAAAAAATAGCCAAGAGAATGGATGGATGCCAATCTGAGCAGCCACGTGTTGCTCTGGAATTGCAGGTTATCCAAAGATGCTTTCTTGGGAGATTAAAGCTGTGTTAACTCCTTACGGTACCTTCGTCTCCTTTGTTTTCTGAGCAGTGGTAGGATCAGATTGTAACGGAGGCACTGTCCTGCCATGGTGGGGAGGGGAAGGAGGTGCAGATAACTGAGGGCTCCTCGCTCATGTCTGCACAGACGTCTGCGTGGCAGGAGGCGGTGGAACCACTGTAGATACCTGTCATCATTTTTGGTGACCTTTGCCCAAATGTTTCATGCCACTCTGCTGGCCTTGTGAAATGGGGGAAAAGTATGTGGCTTTTTCCTTTCTAGTTGAGTAGGGAGCATAATTGTTTCCTTTCATGACTTGTAGCCAAAAGAAACAGGCTTGTGAACCGAGGACAGAAGAAAATGGAGGACGAATTCTGCAGCTTCCCCCTCCAAGCTCTCACATGGTCAAACTCTTTGATGTAAATGAAAATGCTGCCTGAATGGCAGACTTGATCCTTAAAAGGCAAAACAAGAAAAATAACCACAACTGAAAATGTATAGCTTTTAAAATTCCTTCAGAGACAGCAGAAAAACATTACTCTTTTTAGAGATTATTAAATAACTCAAAGGAGGGTAGTCAGAGCACAAGAGGTTACATTCAAGGACTCGCTCACGCAGTGGCTGGAGGCTGGATAGAGGCAGATTTTGGTACTTACGTGGCCAGGGCTGTACAGAGAAAACAAGCATCATCTGCTTGGTGTGGGGTGAGCAGCTTGGCAGCAGTGCCACTGTCCTCCCAATTTCTGCCAACACAAGGGACTGAAAAACCTGAGAGATACATATATGGTAACATATATGGTAACTGACCAAAGCTGTGGGTGTTCTTGTGTGAGGTGTGCAAGGGGAGAAAGCATATGAGAAATTTGGAAAGGTGCCGTGTACAAACCTCGTATGAGATCTCTCCTCGAGGAAATTTGTGCTTTGCTGGGTACAAGCGAGGGCTGTTGCAAGTTGAGTATTGTTAGATCTCTCCTTCATATTTGAAGACACCTGACATTCCCCTTCGTGTTCTGTTTCGCAGATCACAATATACTTATAGCACTTTCACAGGTAGATCTTGAAAGTACTCTTATAAGTACTCTGCCATGGCGGGCAGAGCTTTGTTATTCCTGTTTTTAGCAAGGAAGAATCTCAAGGGAAGAAAAATGCCTAGCTGATGTTTAGACTAGTAGGTCAGTGGCAGAGAGTCTCTGATATCTAGTCCAATTCTCTGGCTGTGCTGCCTAGCTAAATAATGATTCATTTAGTGATTGGGCTCTTCTTTGATCCCAACTGTATAACAATGAGGCTTTGGAGTGTTTTATTGTGCTATTAAAAAGAACTCCTACTAGGGAGGTGGGAAGGGGAAGGTTTACTAGACAGCTGTGTTTGTGATGAATTGGCTTTGTAGCCCTTTTTATTTTTTGGTTTTGGGTTGGGTTTTTTTTTTTTTTGGCCTGTCAGAATTGGGGAAACAGGTTGCTAATGTAATTACACTTCATTATAGTTTACTTTGTGGCTTGTTTTTAAGCCTTCGGGTTTTTAATTCATTTAAATGTTGTCCTAGAACAGTGCGACTTCCTTCCATTTCAGACCCCTTTAGCTAATGACTGCAGTGCTGCTCAGAGCTGAAAACACTTTATTTAGTATTCTTTGTTGTTGTTGTTGCATAGGATCGCATTCAAACTACCGTGGTACCCAGGTACTTCGGTGCTAAGCGTGGTGTGTGCTGAATGTTGATTTGTGCAAAGCTTACTTGGACAGACCGGCGTGCGTCAAGTTAAGCTGCAGACCAGTGCTTGGAAATGCTTGTGTTCTTCACTGCCCAAGATCCCTGCGGTCTCGGGGCCTGGCGTGGATACACTCCTGCACAAGCAGCGTTACCTTTTCGGAAGCTTCTGGGCTTCTTGGGTTTATGTCAGGAATGTAAAAGCTCTGAGAATGAGGAGTAGTGATCTGCGGGGTATAAAATGAATGTGTCACTGGAGATGACACCGAGAACAGCCAGGAAAGGCAGAATAACCAGACGCATACCTCTGCAGAGTTTTCCATTTTCAGCGTTTTCATGCAAAAGAAAGTGATCTCATTATCTGCCACTAGTGATAATATTTGCCTTTCCCTGTGGTTTTCAAGGTGTTGCTCCAATGCACTTTTGTTTGAGTTAGATTTCTGAACAAACAAAGTGAGAGATGTTTACACGAGTAGGACAAGGTGTAGAGATAGACAGGGTAATTCTTGCTGTAGTGTGTTCGGACAGCGTGAATGTCGAAATTTAAATATTTGGCTTCTATAGTCAACATGAAGGTCTGTCTTGATTTCTTTTGCATTGTTCCAAAGTGCTCCGAACATAGGAGAAGAATACTGGCTTTTTTCCCCTGGGTCCATTAAAACTCTAAAGGCTTGGAAAAAGTGGACCTGCCCACCAAGCAGCATAGTGGTTTGTGATGATGATTCTCTTTAAAGGGAAACATACCTATTTTTGGTGTTAGTGTTTCCTTCAATTCCTCAGGAATTCATGCATGCAAATATGATTTGATGGGCATCCAGAAATGGCCTGTGGACTGCTAATTCAGTTGTGGCGCAGGCTCTTCTTCAGATGAGAGATGTGAGAGGTTTTGGGCTAAACTTGTGAGTAGTATTTAAAGTTTATGACTCTCTTGTTTCATTCAGGTATTAGTACAAGGAGAGCTGAAGTAATGAGAAGTCATCATGGAGGCGCAGTCCCATAGCTCTACCACGACGGAGAAGAAAAAAGTGGAGAATTCCATCGTGAAATGCTCCAGTCGAACAGATGTCAGTGAGAAAGCTGTTGCCTCCAGCACAACTTCCAATGGTGAGTAACAGCAGGGATTTACTAGCAGCCAAACCTACAGTAATTTTATGTTCACTGCATTCCTTGTGAATTGAGCATTTGCACCTGGATCAGTGTTTGTTCTAAGGAAAGGCTAAAGAAAATGAACAAGGGGGGGTGGCGGTGGTGGAAAGTGGTAGGATACAATAAGGCCTGTTTTGGCATCAGGCGTAGGCTTTTTCTTCCAGATGTTCTAATTTGAGATGTAAATGTGCTAAGTTATTTATTATAGGAAGTTCCTGTTTTTGGCGTTTTGGAAATTGTCTTGATTAGCCTGGCAGGGCTTGTGAGTGCTTTGCATTTGGCCATTGAAATCTCTTACACTAGTTAGATAATTAGTTATTACAAAAGAGACAGAAGTAGCCCTGTCAAAATTAATGGCAAAGGGTTTTTTTTTCCTCTCTTCTTTTACAAATAAACTTGCTCCTCACAAAGGGCTGCACCCACCTCCCCAAAGTTCTTTAATGGCCAGGGACAAAACATCAAGCTATGAGTGTATCCTCCCATGAATTAATTTCAAAGTTGTGAATGTACAGCTTGTAGATTTGCAGAACTGGAGTAGTTTGCTTAACTCTCCCCAGAGATTACCTCACTTGACAATTTTACATATTCTCTGCCTTGCCGAAGAGTGTATAATCCCAGCCCTGGCCCTTTCATTGTTCACTGTAAGAGGGCTGCATTTATTGGTCCTATGAACGCAAAACTCCCTTTGCATTAGGAAAGAAAATTGTGCGAAAAGGTGTGGGCAGAGTTTCAACCTGTGGATTTTGAATAGCTGCAGAGAAACTGTTGGTTTTTGCAAATCAGTTTAATAATGGTTAAAACCAGAAGATGTCTTTCTGCATATTTTGGAGTCCTGGTGTATTCCTGGCAAAACATTTTCGGATCACCATTTCTGCATCCATCATGCTCACTCATCTGGGCTTCCAGGTCAAGTTCTCACTTTGGTATCTTGAAGAAAGGTTTCTGGTCTCTCAAAGAAACATGTATCTCCCACCAGACTAAAGCAGAAAATACATGAGTCCTACAGCCATACTAGAGGGGGATCTCTGTGGATCAGTAAAAATGAGATGGCACATGTCCCAGTATCCTTCTGTGTGACTGGACTTCAGATTCAAAGCAAACTCAGCACCTGCTGACCTCCTAGTTGGAGTTGATCCCCACGAGAGTATAGAAACTCTTGAGCAGCTATGGAAAAAGTTGCATCAGTTTTCTAAGGCATATGAAATTAGATCCTCAGCTGGTGTAAGTCAGCACAGATCCGTTGCTGTCAATAGAATTACAGTGGTTCACATTAGCTGAAGAGCTCCCCATTGTATTTTTTTTTCGATAATAGGATTTTCCACATTGGCCCAACTTTTCAAACAGATGCAGACTTAAACACATATGCGTATTCTTTGATGTGTCAGAGGTTTGTACTCAAACGATATTTGCACATACCTCTTACTGTTTGGGCTAGCTCTAATGTTGTCGTTAAACATTTAGATTTAGAGGACTAAAAATAAAGCCTTCAAGATGTTTTTGCTGAATTCTGACACTGATTTGCCCTGTGATCAAATATTTTTCTCTCTCTAGTCTACCTATAAGCTTTAACGGTAATAATAGTTCTTAACTACTTGCTTCATCTAGGTGGTGTATTACTGCATGGCAGGGGTGTCAAAATCCCAAGAGTTGGAATGATTCTAAGTCTAATGAATGACTAGAAATTTTTGTCACTGGAATTGTCCCCTATTAAGGGAATGAGATGCTAACGTACTACACATCCTGGGGCCTGAGGCTGCCTTTGGTTAAAGTAATGACAGTTACCTTTGTTTTCAATGGGTAAGCCTTGGTCTTGTTAGTCTCTGTATTTAGGGAAGTCAAGAGGATCTCCAAGGTCTGGGTTTCTAATCTGCCTTCATGTATAACCAAGCAAAGGACTTTCCAAACCAAGCAAAGGACTTTCCAGAGATACAGGGTTGGGCTTCAAAGGGATAAAAAATTTCATTCCTTCCTGGATATGAAAAATTTCCTCTTGGTGTAGAGACTCCATGGAACGTGTACCAAAACAAATACTAATACAACAAATACTTTAGGAACTTAAACATGAGTTTTACTGTTGCAATGTTTTAAAGTTTTGCTTCTTGCAGATGTGATTGTCATGATAATGAATTTTGGTTACAAGGACCAATTTGCATGAAAGCTGGAGCTTGCATACCATTTGCATCTTTTGTTCTTTAATGCTGGAAGGAGTATTACTACAGGAACATCATCAGTTGATATAAGACACCACTTCTACAAAACATGCAGGTTTTGTTGATTCAGTGCCTCTTTTTTTGCAGAGGGCTGTGGTAATGTTAAATGGTTGTGATTTGCATTTGAATGCTCTGTTAAACAAGGTAAGGTACCCTTAAAAATAACGAAAAGACAGAATGATCCTTGCTGGTTTTGTCAGAAGACTCTGCTGTCATTGCAGAGCAACATCTGCCTATCATACCAATGTCACCTTGTAAGCATGTCTAATATCAGCGCTTCTCTTCTTCTGGACAACACATTAATTAGCAAAGTTTGCAGGGTAACATACTTGAGTGACAGCTGTGTGAGGTGTGATGTAGAAACTAGTATTTTCTCAGTAGCTCTGCTGTCTTCTGAAGGAATCAGAACTTGGATCGTAAATAGATTGAAAGCTGTGAGTTACGGGGTTTTTGCAAAGCTTACAATGATGAAGCAGCAAAGAAAATACCATTATTTCAACAGCTCCCGAAAGTGAGTAACACACCCAGTAGCAGAATCTATGTTAAAATGAATATGGAGTGTGGTAAACTCAAATCATATGATGTGCAAACTGTTTATTGAAGAGCCTGGTGTAAAACCTAGGTGTGAGGGAAAGAAAGTGGGAAAGATGACGTGGAAGGGCAGCTCATGGGAAAGAAAGTGGGAAAGATGATGTGGAAGGGCAGCTCATGAGTTCACCCTAACCACACAATGCAAGTTAAGAGGCCCAGACTTGCGGGTGCCCCTTGGAAGGTTCCAGCTGCACTGTGGACTCAAACAATAAGTCAACGTGGGCAGTAGTTTACACATTAGCCACTTCTGCTGAGTTCCTGTCATTACTTAATACAAAAAAGATTTCTGCTGCACTCACCTAACTACAAACTCTGACTGTATTCCTAAGATGCTTGCACTGTGTTAGATAAGGGCCTGCCAGCGTTTCCATTATAAACCCCTAATTTTGGGGATTTATAACTAAGCCATTAAAATGTGCTCCAGGCTGAAACATGTGGGGAAGGTCTTAGTGCTGGAGCAAATTAAAACTTCTTTTAAAATACATGTGATCAAAAAAGTAAAAAAAAAATAAAAAAAAATCATAATTTGTAATAACTAACAAAAATCTTTGGTGCACTTTGATCCCCAGTGGGACTTTGTAATTTGGGACTGCTCTTGCTTTGTTTTGGATTTATTTTTGCAAGCTTTTGATCTTTTCTCCTTTGTGTTTCATTTTGTGTATCTCAATCAAACTGCACACAGTTTACTAGGATACATTTCTTTGCAAATTGTTCCTTTTACTCCTGTTTTGTTTGACTGCTATATTTACTGCTAGGCTAATATCCAAGGGGGTAAAAGCTGCTAAAGAAAACTGCTGATGGAGATGCTCAGTCACAAAAGTCTGTATGAATAAAAAGGTTGTGGTAGGGTATAAAGTAAGCTTACTTTTGTGTATCATGTGATTTGAAAGCCTCAGACTGATCTGCTTTGGCAAAGTAATAACAATAATAAATAAATACAGTGTTTATGTCATGTCGCTGGTATTACATTGGAGTAATGAACCAGCATCCCGGACCACCTTGCTACCACAGTGCTGTGTTGTCAAGCCTTGTCTTCTCACTTCTGTACATCCCTGCCACTTTTCTGGAGACAAAGCAGTAAGACCCTGTTCCCTGCCATGTCTGTGCATGGGTTTAGGTCATCATCCTGAAAGCTGCTGCATGCACACACAGGTTTCTGTCAGGTTGTGCACAGAACGGCTTTATCCATTGATAAACTCATAGTTCTGTGCTCCCCTTGGAGAGCCTGGTATTGCAGGGCATGAAACCTGACTTGCTAGAAGTCTGTTGGATAATGTGGTACCTTGTGTACTTTCAAGTAATTTCAGGATTAAAAAAGACTCTTCAGGTGAACGCGTTAAGCATTGCAGGAACCTATACAGTGACCTGCCTTGCTGAAGTGTGATGAATGCCGGCACAGAGGCTTGTTCTTGGCTACTCCTCCACGCTGCTCTGCCCAGCGAGCGCCAGGGCTGGCAGGCCAAGCAGTGTGCCTGCTTCTCACAGCTTGGCATATGAGCTGCTGCTGACATCAGCAGCACGCTAAGTTGATATGTCAGGCTGAGCACTGCAGTGCCGCGGCAGAAAACATAGGGCTCGCTCCCCTGCCTGCGCAGCCGTGCTGCCCGCGCTGGTGCAGTACCTCCTGCAGTAAAGTCGCAGTAAAGTCGCAAGCTCCAGTCCAGCAAGTACTCGAGCGAACGCCTCGCTTTAGGCACAGGAATAGCTCTGTTGGCCCTAACGTGGGTATTTGCATGCTTACAATTAGGCAGTCGCTTTAATGCTTTGCCAGTCTGGCTGCTTCGACTCTACGCTCTGCTTTGTAGGTGAATCAGATTTGTTGTTAGAGTACTTCCTAAGTGGCATTGACCGAAAACCTCCACACTAACCTAACACAGCCCTCAGCTATATGCAATTTATTTTTTTCACTGTATCTGTAGTATGGATGTAATTAATTTTTTGCTTTATTTTCTAAAACGTACAGGGAATTTCTGTGAGGGCTGAATTAATACTTTTACAAGGCAAAGCTGCACTTTGCAGCATTGCTTGGAGAAAATTAGGAGATTGTAATACTGTGTTCAACCCTGTTTTATTTACTGTTTGGCTTGTGAAATTTTGTCGTGACTAAAATTCTTTCCTCTTTTGCACATTTTAGCTCTAAAGTGATGTTTTTAATGT